ACGATCCGATTCCTTTTCACTATTTTCGAGTCGAACCGGGCGAGTCCGGTTCGACTCGGCGTTTTTTAAAACGGTGGTCGAAGGTAAGCAACTACTTTTGGTGGGCCCGGTCAATCAACATCCGTAACGTGGGACTCATTAATTGGAGGCAAAAAAAAATAATCTAATCCCACAGGGACGGCAGAATCAAGAAGGAGAGAAGTTAGAAGACAAGAAGGAGGGTTAATGGTGTCGGCCGCTTTTTTTATTTGGTACGGTTTGTATGAAGCTGAGGCTTTAAACCATCAAATTACAGTATGCTTTCAAATAATTTTAATTTGAAAATTTGTGGGTTGTATTAAAATATATTTTTATTTTTAATTATAAAATTTAAAATTTAAAAAATGATACAGATCGAACAAATCTATTAAAATTTGAATAACTTAAAAATTGATAATCTAAAAATACGTTACAAAATGTATTATTTCTAAACTTAAAATCCAATTTTTTTTTTTTAAATCTATGCATCTTCATACAGAAACCATCAAATTGAAAATATTTGAACATAAAAACAACCCTTTTTAATGAAATTTTTGAAGTAGGCTCTAATCTGATTGTTTAGAGTCTAGGCCCTCTATAAACTTTTCCATTCTTTTTTATTCTCCTACGTGGGGTTTACGTCATGAACCCGCGAGTACAGGGCTGGTAGGCCCGACTGGCAGGCCAGAATTCTCAATATTTGACCCACATGCCAGTGGGCTTTGATAGGGCCGAGGCTCTTTTAGCCCATGCTGGGCGGGGTCTTCGCCAAATGTTTAGGGACATGGTCCAGGTCAGTGTTAGACCGATCCGGCTGAGGCCCGTTACGAGGCACACGTGCCAGTCATACACGGTTTGGACCATTTTTTCATTGACTACGTGTAACTGACAATCTCATACTTCTCGACATTCCAAACAAAGTATGAGCCAAATTGATGACTGTCTTCTACACGTTGATGGTGAGGCCAGGTGCACCTCCGATTCTCTCTCTCTCTTGTCTCTCTTTCTCTCGTCTTTCTCGCTTTTGGGCGATAATTGGTTCTAATTGTTCTTTCTCTACAGAGAGGATCATCAAAAGGGCGTGATTCAATGGAGTCTCCATTTAAGGCTAATGTTTTGGAAGGGAAGGTGGCCTTGTTGACAGGGGGTGGTTCAGGAATAGGGTTTGAGATCAGTACTCAGTTTGGGCTCCATGGCGCCTCCATCGCCATCATGGGTCGCCGCAAGCAAGTCCTCGACGATGCTGTTCAAGCCCTCCGCTCCCAAGGCATCAGGGTATCAATTCCTCTTCCTTTCCCTCTCTACCTCTCTAACCTATTTCTTCCTCCACTTCTCTCTTCGCTCTCCTCTCCTGTTTATCCAAACAAAATCCCCCCTCTCTTCCTTTTGTTCCTTACCAAGTCTCTACATGTTATTTAACTGCATGAAGCCCCATAATGTCATGTTGTTCAATCCCAACATGATCTTGCCCTTTTTTTTGTTCTCCATTTGGCAAGGCGCTCTTCGAATTTCCAATGTTTGTCAATCTTATTTGGTTTATATTGTAAATTTGTGTACATTCTGCACTTAGCATTCTTGCTCATTTTAATGGGGGCAGCTCTCATGGCTATTCCTTGCTTCTCTTTGCAATTACTTTCTTTCATGCTAGTGATATGTATTGGGTCAGATGGATCAAAGTTTCTAGTCTTGGCATGGATGGCTCAGTTGTGGTGCTCTGTCTTCTTTCTAATGAATATTGATAACTCCACACTAAGAGTGGGATGTCAATAACTAGGGGTTACTCATATATTTTACATCTTCTATTGGTGTCAATTGCTAAAGCTTTTCAGAATTACCTAGTCAGCCATAAATAATAATAAAGTAAAGCCTTCGAAATATATTTCCAATTGACGATAAAAAGGAGTTTCAGATGGATGAATTTTCAATAGATTTTCTTTCTTGAAAACAGTTGTGATGCTAGGTTTGAGTCTGAGCTGTTGTCTAGGATCTTTCTAGATTCTTACAACTTCAATTTGGTCTTTTATTTCTTTCTACTTAATTCACTCAGTGAATGTATGTAATCAGGTTCATCAATTGCTATATCATGTAGGATCTGTATATCAAACATTTGATGTTAAGAATTTTTGGTATTTTGGATTGCTTTTTTAAGGAGTTTTACACTTTCTAGTTTTTCTAAGGCCCTCTTTGGTAACTGAGAAAGCTGTTTTCCTAGAGAATCTCTAAGAAATTGGAAGCCCCTGAGAAAAAGGTAGAAGTAAAATACTGTGGCTGGAAGCTGAGAACCCTTGTTTGATAACCTGCCTATGAAAACCAGAGAAAGCTTGGGCTACAGCATGTGCAAAGAGCGATTGAGAGGGGCGAGATTGTGAAGTTTGAGAAATAAAAGGGCAACGAGCTGGTTCTTGCAATTCCTCCCTTTTTCTGATGGGTGGGGGTGCGCTGCAGTTTTCCCCAAAATTTTGGGAAAGTGTGGAAATGCGGGGCCCCGCGTTTCCACACTTTTCCCCATTTCCAAACAGGGGATAATGTGGTATCTGAGAACGCAGGTTGTTGTCTCTTGTTTTCTTAATTACCAAACTGGGCCTAAAGGCATGCTCATATTTACATAGAGAGATTTTCTTTTTGCTCCGCAGAAGTTTTCACAAAAAATGCCCGTTTGAGAAAGGCTAATATTTAGTGTGTGGATATTCCATACTCTTTTACCCTTAAATTTCAATGTTTGCTCTACTTGTTCTATCAATGCCCTTGAAAAATGCAAGAAAATGCATTTACCTGAACATTTCTTGTTCTAGAAAATGGAGAACCCTTTACCAAGTTCATGATAGATAATATGAAATAGAAAACTCAAGTCTATGAAGCACTAGTTTTTGGATTACGAGATTAGGTCCCTTGCTTGTGAGCCATCATATGCACGATACGTGCATCTATTGATCCTAACTTTTGCAGACATATGCCAGCATCAAAGTAATTTATATATGTAGGGGGCAATATTGCGTCAGATAAATAAGCAAATTAAATTATAATGTAACAGCAGATTATGAGATTTTCTGCTACCACAATGTTTGTAATTAATGTAATTTGAATGGGACTCTCACCTTGGATGACCATAATATTTCGTTCAGTTTTATTCCTCTTTTTTGTTTTTTTTCTCCCAATCTTTATTTGATCATTGATTTTGGTTATATTTTTTGAGAAGCCTGTGTCTACTTTCGTTTCTTTCATTTTACTGTGTTCTATAGGTTTATCTGAATGGGTCTCTCATCTTGGATGACCATAATATTTCGTTCAGTTTCATTCCTCCTCTTTTTTTTTTTTTTCTTCCTAACTTCTTTTGATCATCGATTTTGGTTATATTCTTTGAGAAGCCTGTGTCTACTTTCTTTTGTTTCATTTTACTGTGTTCTATAGGTTTATCATCTTTAGCATCATATCTTCCCTTGTCCATGGAATGTTATAAATAGAATTATTTTGAACTTTCTGAGAGTTGACAAAATGGTTTTAATAACTTATAAGCATGATTTTTGTTTTTCATTACTAATGCAAGATGTTTTCTCAGTTGCAAGTTTGCCATTGGGAGGTAATAATAAATTAGAATCTCTTCAAAGGTGTTCTAATTAGTTTCTTCCTAATATATTTGTTTTTTATCCTCTTTTATTCTTAGCATGCCTTTAGGGCTGGGAAGCTTTATGCACTAATATCTTCATTCCTTGCGAGAAAATTTGATTCGTGTATTCTCAAACCTTTATGTACAACGTGTAAATGATAACATCTTCCATAGATGGCAAATCACATTCATGGACAGCTACTAGTTAAAAGTTGGCTAAGCATCTACGTAGTTATTTTTAAAACCAAAGATTCCTGCAGTCTAAAGTTAAATTGTTTCAATTAGTGTGATACGTGCTTGTAGGCCATTGGTTTTGAGGGAGATGTCCGTAGGAGGGAGGATGCAGCTAGAGTTATGGAATCCACTGTAAAACACTTTGGGAGACTTGATATTCTTGTGAATGCTGCTGCTGGTAACTTTCTTGTCTCAGCAGAGGATTTATCCCCTAACGGCTTCAGAACAGGTAGACTCTTTCTACTGACCAAGACATTTTTGACATGGCCAATTTTGAGAGAAATAGCTCAGTAACATTTGCATTATGTTGCTAATAACTTCTTGTTCTTCTCTCAAAAATAACTTCCTGTTCTTGACATCATTGGATGGATCAGATGCTTGTTGATTAGACTAGGCCATGATGCATCAGGTTAGGTTCACTTGCAATTCAAAATGATGAAATAAGGCTTTTGAATTTTTTTTATTTCTTTGTGATTGCAGTTATGGACATTGATTCTGTTGGGACATTCACAATGTGCCATGAAGCACTGAAGTATTTGAAGAAGGGGGACAGGGGGAAAGGTCCGGCAAGAGGTGGCCTCATTTTGAATATTAGTGCTACTTTACACTACACAGCATCATGGTATCAGATTCATGTATCTGCTGCCAAGGTTAGTCATAAAGTTATGCAACAATGGATTATGGTGCTCTAGAGTTAATGTTCTTGTGTTTCCAGTAATTTGATACTTATCATGGATTTGCAGGCAGCTGTTGATAGCATTACAAGGTCTTTGGCACTTGAGTGGGGGACTGATCATGACATCAGAGTAAATGGAATTGCACCTGGGCCAATTGAAGACACCCCTGGCACAAGAAAACTTGTGCCAGATGAGATGCCAAGTAAAAGTAGAGAATATATGCCTCTATATAAGTTGGGAAAGAAATGGGATATTGCCATGGCTGCCCTCTACTTGGCATCAGAAGCAGGTGCATAACCTCACCTCATTCTTCCTATAGCTTCATATGTCTTCCATCCTAAAGCATATTTTGCTTGGTCCATTGAAACATTGTTTTAACTGAAATTTTTGGGGGTTCAGTTTTGATTTATAGCATGTTATATAAACTATAAAGTAAAATATGTTACAGAACGAAAGTGAGAAGATATTCAGGCAGTTAGGCATGTTGGGGCTCTGGAAGCTCTATCCATATCAAGAGTTCGGGCTTGTTTCATGAGATAGCAAAAATCAAATGTAGTTTTGCTTATACAAATCACAACATAAACCTATGAATTATGAAGGCAGGGAAACTTCCTTGTCAAAAGCAATACCTTGTGGATTGAGTTGCTTAACTTAGGCCTATAAATAGGTGACTGTAGAGTTCCTCTCAATCATATCTAAAAAGCATGCTAATAAATGAGGCAGATATCAATAAACTGTGTTCATCATGTACTGCTTCCCTTAAAACCTTTTGTTCTGATTCGCCAAAAAGGCACTGCAGATGGTAGAATAGGTTATTTGTTGACCGATATTCAATTTAATACTAACTGATAGTTCTTGCTTCTTTTAGATGATTTACTAGGTGTCAGACAAGGTCTGGCAGGCCTCTAATCATTGCGTTAGGTGGTTCTCAATGTTATTAGTGTTGGAAGGCGATACAGACATGCTGGATTGGCATCTTTTATCCTTTAATAATTCAACCTTGCATGGAATGAAAAGTGCTTTTTGGTGTTGGCATAAAATATGATGCCATGTGTATATGTTTGATGTAGTATGCATAGTTTTATTCAAGGCGATGTGCCTCTGAAGCATAGCTTACCATTCTATTTTTGTTCTCTCTAATATTCAGTAGTTGATGCTTTTATTTTGTGTATTTTAAATTTCTAAAGGATTTTATTTTGAGTACAATCATTTTCTGTTTAACTAAAATTGGTTGATTGGTCCTTGGAAGTTGTGAAATATGAATGATGCCGATGTATCTTCTTTTGTCATGAATGTTTAATGTTTTCTAATGCATATACTTACCTTTTTTGTATATTTAATCCAAGTGTTGTATACAATTACAATAGCAACCTAGCATCTTGCCTTGTTCCAATACTAGGGATATGAGTTCTTATCTCATCGTGCTTCTGATAGGATCCATATGAAGATAATCCTACAATACCCTTCTTAAGCTTAAGGCAGTGCTAGAAACCTGAACTCTATGCTCAACTCAGTCCTTTTTAAAACTGAGTTCTTGCTGAGTTGTACAGGCAAATCTCAAAAGTTCGGGTGATTTCTCCAAATCGTTTGTGAAGAGACATGAAAATCCAATGTTTTCAACCCTTTCTCCTCGCCAAGTCCAAGTAGACTGCTTTGGAGTTTGCATTCAAGTGAGAAATAGCACAAAACTCATGTATTCCCAAGTTGTTCATTTATAGTACATGGAAACTGGCCTAGCCAAGTTGGCTTGAGGAGCTTTCCAAGTTGAATATGATTTCTATTCATTGGAATAAGGGATTGAGGGGGTTCATACATGGTTGTGCAATTCGACCCTTCTCCTAGTGAACTTATAAATGATAGATAATGTACGTATTTACATGCCTAACTTGGGCGTACCGCCCCATAGGTGGTCTATTGCCCATCTTTTTCTCGAGGCGAACATGGTAGCTGATGCCCTCACTAAGAGAGCAACGGTTTATTCAGGACTACATGATTTGGCGCAACTGCCCTATTATAGGGTTATAAAATAATGTGTTACTTTTTATTTCTATTAATGAAAATTCAGGTAGGGGGCCTTCTCCTCCACTGACTTACCCCAAAAAAAAAAAAAAAGGGTGTACCCAAGTTGGTCATATATGATATATGCCAACAGGCAGGGTCGCGTTGACTCAATGATTTTTTCTGAGTTGATCATGATTTTTTTTTTTCTTCGCTGGATTAAGGGATTGAGGGGTCTTTTACAAGGTTTTGTGATCTCCTCCTTCTCCAAGTGATTATAGATGGATAATGCAATTTGTTTCACAGAAGTTTCATTTTCTTTTTTACATGTTTATGCTAATCTATTCTTGTTATGAGCCCTTAAATCCGTAATTTAATGAGCTTTCAGCCTCTCAATAGAGCTACCATCCTAGTGGCACTGTGTCCAACTCCACCCACATGAAAGGAATAATACTGTAGGTGGCTCATAGATGCGTGGAACTCGGTTTGGGGGTAGTGATCTGTTGGCGTATAGGGTGCACATAAAGAATTTGTGCACTTAAGACCCTCTCATACACCCTTTACATATAAATTGCATCAAAATTCCACCTACAATACACTGATATAAGCTAAATCATTCTTTAATGCAAAACTCAAAAATAAAGATCTTATAACCAATAGAAAGCCCCAACATGAATTTCCATTCAATTGAACAATAAGAGATTACATGGACAAAATTCAGTTACATACAGATGTGAAGCATTCTATCAAACACGTCCAATATTACATAAAAACTTCCTCCAAAGAACTCTTACATTACAGCTCATAAACTAACATCAAAACACAAGTCATGAATTATGGGGAATCCAATTTACCTCAAATTGCCTAGGATCACCTCCATGGGGACTTAGTACACCCCATAGTGGATTTCCTTGATAGCGCGGGTTACATCGGCCACAAGCTTTCCTCTGAATGAAAGCCAAGAAGAACCTTCTCTAATCTCACTAAGGCCACTAGAGAGGGCCGTAATCAAGCTGAACAAAGTATCCTAGAATACATGAATGGGGCATGGAGAACATGGGCAAAATGATGGCCGAAGACAATGCTATGCGGAGACAATGTAGAGCCAAAGTAAGGGCTTAAGAAAATGGATGAAATGAGCCAATGTTAAGGCCTATCCCCTGCTGTAAATTGAATGAGGTGAAGGGATTTCATCAATTTTGGAATGCCATGAAAGTCCTCTAATGGTGGAATGGAGTAGGAGCATGTATAGAATAAAGTATAATGAAGTGGAAGAAGAAGGGTTATGTATATGGACCGCACAATGCACTTTACACTTAGGACCATAAGATTTTGTTTCTCTAGATGATGCTTGCTACTCCATTAGGCTTTCTCATGCTAAACTCTAAATTCGAGCAGTGCTTAAGAAAGGTGTAAAAATGATGGGGTGAGCAACCTTATTTACATATTTGAGATTACGATTTAGGAGTGCGTAGAAGGTTCTCTTTGGGAGGTGTATTATGAGCCCTTAATTCAGGAGATTTATGGGTGAGCATGGCTTCTGGTCTACGAAGGGTGAGGACCTTAAACTTTCCCTTAACCCGTCTCAAGCCTAGGTCAAGGAGGTGAGTTGCGTTAGGTTGGCAGTCAATGTAAAACTTTACCAAAACTTTTCATGAATCCTGAATCTATGGGCCCTTGATAGAGCATAATGGCAGACCAGCATTCATGTAGCTGACTTCAAATAGTTGGAAAAGGCTCTGATGATGATGATGATGATGATGATGATGATGGGTGAGAGTGGCTTCAATTCAGGCCACTCATCTAGCTATCATAAATTAAGGGATGAGATTTGATGACTTTAGCTCCTAGCCAATGCAAGCCCTTAATTTCTCTTTAATGTATCTAGTCGTCATCATCACGATTCATGAAAAAAGTTGTGGCAAAGTTTTATGTTGGCTGCCTACCTAAAACAACCTTCCTCCTTTATCCGGGCTTGGGACCGGCCATGGCGGAGTTGTATCTAGCCTTAACAATATCTAGATTAAGTCAAATTAAATAAATGACCTAGGTTATCTACGTGATATTTGGTTAATTCAGGAGAAAGATATACTCATAAAAAAGAGGTGTTCTCTTTAGATCAATAAATGACCTAGGTTATCTATGTGATAATTGGGACCGGCAATGGATGGGCTTTTTGTTGTTGCAAAGCAAAAGCTAGGTGGGCAAGCGCAGTTTTGTCAAAGTCTTCAAAAACAAGGGCTTTGAAAAGATTTGGCTTGGCCAAACAACACTCAAAATACATCAATAATCCTTGCTCAAGTCAACAACCTCTTTATTGGAACTAATGGGCGGTTCAACAACTACATCCTTTGTTCATAACATAACTAGACCTGGCGAGTGGTGTGCATAAGAAAAAAATAATACATATCCGAGGCAACTAGTAGCATGCGTATGTAGGTTTTGCGTTGCCATGGTTTTCAGGCACTTGTCCTCATAAGCCCCTAAGCATTGTACATCACAAGAGCCTCTTTCATCTCCTGGCCAACCGATCAACATCTACCTTGGTTTCAACCGAGCTTGACAATATACCTTGGGACTGTCTTTAGTGATGCAAATCACATACCAAACATAACCTGCCTAGGGTGTAGGTTCACTCACTAGCCAGGGCCTAGTCACACGCCAAGGGGAGAGTGATGGTGCCCACAATGTCTCAAATAGAGTCTAGCTTCCTACTCATGCCCTGCTCTAGGTACCGAAGTAGAGCATGCTTCCAATCAAACTGATAGTATTTCATAAACATAAATAATGAGGATACATACATCGGGAAAATACAACAGAATTTTAATTAAAAGCTCAAATGTACAGCCATTTAAAGGCCACAAATCTAAACGCTTAAAATAATCTTAGATCTAAGTATCACATTAAACTATGTTTTTATTATAAAAAAAAAATACTTTGTCTGTTTCTCAGGTCTTTTTTTTTTGAGATTAATCACGAGGCTGAGTGCTTGTGCTCCCCCTAGCTAACTGTTGTAAGATGTGTGCTAAAATTGTAGAAATTAGCTTATGAGCTTTCTCCCTCTCTCTCTCTCTCTCTCTATATATATATATATATATAGAGAGAGAGAGAGAGAGAGTATAAG